CTTAACAAAGTGTAGATTTATAGTTTATTGAGTAAAATAGAAATATAGAATAATGTGTATAGGAAAATACAACCTGTTTATAAAACTTGTCAGAAATTACAATTTCACAATTAAATTATTTGTGTATAAATTAAAAATAATTGTTACACAGTTTTTATCGTATATTATATTGAGATTTTCAAGTAATAAGAATTTTAATAAGAGTTTTTCTTTTTATATTGCAGAGAAAACAAATTTTGTTTGTTTTTAATTTGTTAAGTTATTGATTTATGTAACAAAAAATTATAGAATGTGATAACTGAATTTTAAATTCCTAAGGTTACTAAAAATTATTATTTTAGAACCCAACAAATAAACAATATTGTTCTTTAGTAATCTATTATGTTATAATACTTATACGTTATACCTATGTATACCTATGTTTTTTTATCATTTTATAACCAGATTTCTGTTTATATTGAAGTATGACTTTAAAACCAGCAAAACATTTTTCAGTTGAATATAATTCTATCTAGTTCTTCTGATAATAAAAAAATAATAATTCATTTGTGGGGGAATTAATCAGTGAAGTTATTCTTACCTAATTGATTCTTCGGCATAAATACGATCTCAGCCCTATTGTTGTACAATTTGTAATGAATTGAATCTCTCCTTTTATTATATTTAAACTGTATATAATATATAAAACATATACTGAAATGTATATATTAATACATTTATATTGACCTGTTTATTCATTTAATTACATAGGTATTGCATATTAAATTTGTTTTATAATATCTGATGTGCTGGAAAAAATGCATGGAAGCTGTGTTAAAATTTTTAAACACGGTGACACAAACTACAGAGTACATAATATTATATTAGCTTAACTATGATTACTTAGTGATGTATGTATGTATGTATGTATATTTTAAATATAATGGCTAATGGCTAATAATTTAAAAAAAGGAATACAAGGAAAGATGTTCTTTTTACACCACAACCAAGTATGTAACTGTCTACTTTACGCACAAGTAAACGAGTGATACACCATGTACGACTGTTGAAAAACTTTTTTCACTCAGCCTAGTAGCAGTCTATCTTCCCACTGCGACTCAAGATCTCGCCTATTAAAGTTATTTATTTTAGACTTATTTAACCAATTATCATAGCCAGTGGTGCATAATAATAATTGATAATGTAGGTACAACATAGTGTAATAATAATATATTTAGTGAAAAAGTGTAAAGTAAACACTAAACTGATAAATGAATAAATTTATCTTTATGGAAAGCTGGGTATGATTTAAAATCCTTTGAAAAATCATTTTTTTAAGGATTTCGCACAGCTCTGTGACTATAAATCTAATATATATATTTCAGCTTAAAAAATAAATTCTAAGTGGAGCAAATGAATATAGTAGATTTAGTGTAATTTTTTTTTTTGTATTTGTACTCTATAGTCACTTTTGGGAATAGTTAAGTGTAGAAATGCTTTATATCTAGTTAGTACTTGAGGGGGGGGGGGGATCAGTAATTTTAGTTTTAAGATAACGGTGAGAAATCATATTTAAAAAGTCAGTGAATGTTGAATTGGAGAAGAAGATTTCAAAAGTAATCAATGAGGTGAAAGACGGAAAACTGAAAGAGCATCTGAAGATAAGATAGACCTCTTGGTGTTAAACATTATTATTTATTTTACAGTAATTTTTCAGTAATTTTTGTATTCAGATAAGATGTATTGTGTATAATGGTTGGTTTTGAAAAAGAAAAAATATTTTGAAGATTTCGATCGTTCAATCCATCAATAAATTATTGAAATATTAAATTAAATGATTATTTTTACATTTAACTGTACGTACAAATGACGTTCAACTTTTTGATTTTCCAACATTTTATAGCTGTCCTTAATTATTCACAAGGAAACAAATTTCAGACCACAAAATGTTTGAGCCCCCAAAATGCTAGCGCCCGGGGCAGTTGTAGCCAGTGCCTCCCCCCTAAATGCAAGCGATTGGAATAAAATACCTTTTCAACAAAATTAATTTCTGATAAAATACTATTTTACAAAAAAATTTTTTTAACCATAATACGGTTCCAAACAAATACATTTCCTACGAATTATTTTTCTAACTAAATACTGTTCCGACGAAATAAACCCTCACGACAAAAATATGCAAAGCTTTTTTTTAAAGGAGATAAAAATGACAGTGAATATAGTGTATATGAAAGTAATATTGAATGAAAGTATGTTAAACTATAATAATCATGTAGCATTATCTGAACAATATAAATACTTAATAATAATTATTACAATATACATTTTTATTTCTATAATCTAACATTTTCAGAAATCGATAAAATATTAACGGTTACAAAAATAAAAATGTATAAATAATAAATATTGTTATTCGCCCATTAGTTTGTAAGACCTGTGCTTACGATTATTTCCCATACTTATTTAATTACTAGCTGACAAGGCAATGCTTTTCTATTGCTAGATTTCAGTACATTTATATATGTTTAGGAATATGTGAAAAGTTTGATATGCATTTTATCAGATATTTAATTTGATTAATTTTTTTAGTATGTTTTTATATATAAGTGTGAAATATATTTGTTTCGTTATGATGTACGATTTTTATTTTTTTATCAATTTTATCAATTTGTCTTAAGCATTAAATATTTCTGGATACATCACTTTAAGCTTCTAGGGCCAACACAAATAGATTTTGTTTGCATGTGACATGTGACAGAGCTACGTACAATTGACCACGGGAAAAACACTGGACAGTTAGGTCTAAACCTGCAACGTTTAATGTTTGACCTTGTGCCTTATTAATAGTCATTGAAAAGCTTCATTTCACTATAAATTGCAACCGTTTGAACTGGAATGGAAAATGAGTTGGCATCATTGGTATTCTAGGAACAAAGACCATCCCCTCCTCCACAGCCAATAAGGATTATACAATCAAGCAGACAGTTTTTTAAAGATTTTATTTGTAATCTTGTACCGTCGCATAATTTTGGTGGACTTAAGTTACGAAGTAAAATTATAGGAGAACCTACCTTTAGAATTAATTTGTATGGTGGAGTCCCTGAAGGAGGTACAGAATTTAAAAATTCAGTTGGATAATGTATCGCCTCCTCTGTATCTAAAACAGAGTCAACGGAATAGTACACTTTTGTTGGTGCATTGAATTTTAACAGTACCTATCATGTAATTTATTTTATTGACTTGATCGTTAGTTGGTGACAATATTGCCCTTTCATGAAACCAACTTGACGTCTTAGACGAAATATTTGATACATCTGGGTAAACATTTTCAATTAGATCCAGCAAATTAGTCATCAAAAAACATGCGCACAGCAGCTCCCCCCCACCATGCGCATCGACAATGATAATTAATGTGTTATCTGTATGTGTACTGAAATAACTTAAAAACTAAGATTACGCAATATAACCGTTATAATAATCGTTGAGTGAAAACTAATAGCTAAGTAAAATGCGGAAAAACAATGCAAAAAACATGTGTCTGGCACTGTAGATCGAACTCGAGACACTGTTTTTGAAACTTCATGAAAGTGCCTCCGCGCAATAGAAATCTGTGCACGGGGCGATATTATGCTATTTAAGAATATACCGATGTATGGCACAAATAATTTTTTTATTTTTTTAATCAAGTTGTACGAATAAATTGTATATTAAATCTTTCCCTAAATCTAGACCTATATTAATTAGTGAAAACTGTACTAAAATCCGTTGGGTGCTTTTTGAGTTATGCGCGTACATATAAAAAAGGTGGTTCTATTTTATATAGTAGTATGATATGATTTATAATTTGTTTTGGATGAAGATTTCTGTTAATGTTGATGAATAATAATACGTACTCTGGTACCCTTGTAAATTGTTATCAGATTGTGACTTGAACAAAATATAATTAATATGCACCTAATTATTTATATATTATATACATATATTACATATTAAATATAATTTTTGAACAGTTTCTTATAGTAATGAAATAGGGGTAATGTGCTATAACAAATAATGTTCACCATTTTTAACTAGTACTATTTTTTTGTATGTCTAGTCGAGACTAAAATTTAAAAGTAAAATAATCTATTATATGTACTATCTACCAGCTGAGGTTTTACACAGGTCTGCGCCCGGGCTGTCAGTCCATTAGCCATAATTAACATTCATATTTATTTTATAGATTTATATTGTTCATTATTATAAATCTATTACAGTGCACCGATTAGTTTTTTTTTTATAAAACAATGAGTTACATTTTTATTTATACACATTATTATGTATATTGAATGTTAATCTTTTAGAGTTTAGAGCGTGCCACTAGTATCAACATTGCATTGTATCTTTACTTTCTGTGGCCGGGAGGTATATTTTGTGATTTTCATGTAGATGAAAACTGACCTTCTCCTGATCCGGCTGAATATCGATGTTGTGTTTCAAACGAATCGGACGAACAGTTTTGAAGATTACGTGTGCGGAAAAAACAGACTTCCATTTTTATTTATATAGATTAATATAATATTATAGTGTAGTATTAACTTAGACAGAAAATTATCAAACATGAATTCAGGTGTAAACTTAAAAGTTGAAGTAATAATAAGTCAATTAATAAAGTAATGCTGTTATTTTAATTTATTCTCAAAAGACATCACATATATTGTATATAATATACAATTCTGATAAAAAATTCAGTAGTTAAAAGTGTTCAAGCTACTAACTAACAATAGATTTACAACTGCAGAGTGAGAATTAAGGATTAAGCCATAATGGCTGTATAAATTGGGTTCTATTTAGTATTAACCATTTATTTCAATATATTTTTCAATAGACAATTAAGTACTTATCTACTACCTATAAATCGAAAACGAATTTAAAAGACCTAGAATTTAGGATAATATATCAAGAGTCAAGACAGAGTTCATTAATTCTCAAGTATTTAGTAAGAGAACAAGTGATACATATGTTGCCCGGGCAGGACCACAATGACCGGGCAATGTGTACATTGTTCCACATTGCCGGTAAAATATAAAACTACAATATTGATCAAATGTTGGGACCACATAAGGAATCTGGAAATGTTCGCGGGCTATCAAAATTACAGACTTCTGTAAAAATCTATTAACATATATTATAAATTTAAAATGATTAATTAGTTTTATTTTTGTCTGCTGGCCCAATAAAATTTGCTGGCCGAATACAATCAGTGCATAGGTATATGATTATAATGTGATTTTCGATAAACGTTAAATATTTTATTATTATTTATTATTTACTAGAAAAAGCAAATGCAAATGAATATGACGTCAATTAAAGTTTACTGCCGGCTGAAGCCGTCAAGAGATCTAATAAAAGTACGCTAATATTATAATTTATTTATTGATTAATAGTTTATAAATATTTGTTTATTTATAGTATGAAATTATAGCAAAAAAGCATATACTGATGTACTCGCATGACAGAAAAATGGAAAAATTCCAGTAAGTTGATATCACATTTTATTAAATAACTGGGTTTTCAACCCGAGGCCAGGACTATCTTAATTTAACATATTATGAACATATTCGAAGCATAGGATGTTTTTTTAAACATTTTTTAAATTTTTTATTAATTTTATTTTTATTCCAAACGTGGCCCTTGAGCTTTAACAAAAATAATATAATATTCTGCGCAATTTTAAATTATTACTTGTTTAGAATCATTGTAATCTTTCCACTTGTATATAGAACGCCATATAGTACCAATCATGAAGCTAGACGCGCGTACAGGGGCGTCATTTCAGTTTTTTTCTGGGTGTACAAACTTTTAGGTTGGCCAACTTTTACATTTCACCAGGCCATTAAAAAAATATATATTTATATATATAAATGTAGGTAATCTATGTAAATATTCGTTCCTTCCCTTTTATAATTCTAATTAAAACTTATAACGACTAATGCAACTTTTAAATAATTGGCAATCCAAAGAATTAAAAGTTCATAAGCAATTAAAGCAACCAGCTGAAGACATTTCACTATAATTTAAAAAAAAAAAAGCAAAGAAGGTATAATCAATAAACCTGATCTGATAAACCAAAATATACAAAAATTTGAAAACCATATATATTTTATTTACTTTACCCATACATGAAAGCAAAATGTATAAGTTAATTATGACGTAAGTATTAATGGCAGGCCAATTGTTAACAATTTTCAAGTTAGTGGTGCCTTTGCACACCCTGCTCCCTCCAAATGACGCCCCTGCGTGCGCAATGGACTAACACTTCCACCGACCGACCATGATCTTACCTTGCGCAGAGTATTATATTGGGCGTGCCTAGGGCTCAGCTGTTTTCTAAAATGGTTGATGACACTTTGGTACAACGTATAACACAGAATATAATATATTATATTAATGTATATTATTAGATTTCAAAAAGTATTCGATGACAACACAACTCAGAGTTCAATTTTCAAACATGTGGCCGTTCCGATACTTGACCAGTAAATATTATTTTTTAATGTCATTGGTGGTGGGGCATAAGATATGCATCGATTTTGAAGGGCTGTAGAATAAAAACTTTTGAACTTATAGAAATATTTTTGATATTTTAAATTCAGTAGTGTATATAGTTTTTTTACATTAAGTTTTAAGGAATACATCACCAAGATGGCGGATTTCAGCAGCGATATACTCCTGTATTCGATTCCGATAGTTTTCAACAGCTTGTCGACACATTCGGATGGGTATAGCAGTAACTTTCTTCCTCATTCTCTCTTTAAGTTATTCTATGGTGTGTTCAATGTTCAAACACTTTTTCTTTTAGTTATCCCCAAAGAAAAAAGTTGCAATGGTCAAATCTGGCGAGTGCGTAGGCCACTGTCGTCACTCCTAAAAGGGACCATCTGTCTCAGTTGTTACAACGTCTAAACCATAGTGGCAACTGACTTAAGATAAAACTATGACACAGTTACGTGATTGTGAGAGCGGTAAGCCGGTCGTGATGTGGTGTGAGGTGTTGATAGGTGACTTTAGGATAACACAACACTTTCGTGACTTGACTGTATTGCCTTTATTACGGTATTAACAAAGAACGGTCACAACGACGGAATCGAATAATGTATATAAAAGAAGACCACTTAGGCGAAGGGTACGTTGACGGCGATCGTGTTGTTAGTACGAAATTACGTGCAAAAGATCGAGGCGATAGTACTTATCTAGCTTGACTTATCTTCCCGTCCGGACGCGTCCCCGCCATGTGCCTTTGCGGTTCAGTGGAGAGTGCGGAGAGTCGACAGTATCACGTTGTTGTAACCCGTGGTGGTGGATGGTAAAAGTGAAGACCGGTCGCTACGGTGCATGTACTTCGTACTGTCTGCCGTTACGTACCGTGTCAACTACAACCAAGAACACGATTAATCCTACCACAAATTCTTCCCACTACGACAGACCAACCTTTCGCCATATCTTATGCCCTATATTGTAAATTGTACTCTAGGGAGCATCCGACAGAGAAAATCATGAAGTATATTTTTGAGAGACCTATATATGTACCTCCAAAAGTTTCAAGTACCGGTCTTAACACCTCCTAGTCACCAACCGCCTTTACATTTATAAAGTGCCTAAATATTTAAGAATAAGCATCATAGTTTTAAAATGTTTCTTCAATAATATTCACTATCATACATTTTAAATTTATTTTACCTTTAACCTATGCATTGTCTCCAATTCTCCATATTACAAGGGTATAACATACCTAATTGTACGTTCTGAATAATTTATTTGACTATGTTATGTTAAATTTTATAGGGGATTGACCTTTTACCAAATGTATGAATAATTTACAAGAATTTTAAAACAATAAAGTGTTTGTACATTTTAAATGCTTATAACTCGCTTTGAAATTAAATAAAAAACTCTTGTCATCAACTAGTCATACACTGTTATGTGTTTGTAAGACAGATAGAACGCATGCGGGTGTGGCGTCCTCTTAATATTAACAGTTTCTACTCGTATCTGTAATCAATCACGTAACGTAGTTGCTGTTTCGATGAAAACACATGATAACAAGACTGGGAAAATCAATTATAATATATTTGATTGAGTTAAATTGAGTTTATAAAAAGCATTTTAAAAGTTTAAAGTTAATAATTATCCTAATTTTTTTTTAAACTCAGTTAAGTAAACTTGACGTGACCATGGGTGATGTGGCTGGTCTTGGGAGAGATATCGAGAAATTAATGAAAAAAATACACGGTACAGGATTTGAACCCGCGACCCACGCGCCAGACCGCCGGACGCGTAACACTGGGCCACAGCGTATTATTCACTAAATCTCGATATTCCCAGTTTAGGCCAGAGTGGCAGTGTGTACGGTTGAGAGAGAGTGATGAGGCGCTGGGGCCGTGTCAACTTACAGTTAACTTATTAACTCAAGTTATTATTATTACTTTTTTTTAGTATTTAGGTAAACAATTAAATGGTCTAAAATAACAAAAAGTTAATGCAATATGTATCTTGTTTAATAATTGAATTATGTTTATCATTTATGTATATTTATAAATGAATGAAATTAGATATTATTTAAAGTAACTCGTTATTTATTAAGTTCATATCAATAAAAATCAGTTAACTTAAAAATTAAGTTAACGAAAATTAAATTTTACAACTTTAACTTTAAATTTTAACTCATTTATGTCTAGAATTTGCATAATAATATACAATTTTCTTACTAATGTTGGAGAAGATATCAAATTAATTCTAATTCAATTTATTGACCTAAGAGTAGAGGCATCTAATAGTTTCAATACTATTTGTATGGTTAAATGATTTAGTTATCGTATTCAATCGGTAGATTAGCCGGCGGAAAGTAACTTAACCGAAAAGTACAAAAAACGCGTATTTTTTTGTAATTCTGATGTCAGATGTCGTTCCAAATCTCTATGAAGTAAACTTATCTCATGCAAAACATTTAATTTATACATACAAATATGAAATTAGTTTTTCACTAACTGCTAATCACAGAAACTACTGGGCCACTGAGGTAATAAAACTTTCCTATGTCAAAATATTCTTCGAGATTTTAGGGGTGTTAAAGCTTCTTTTTCAACAAATATAGGTTGCTATATGGTGAGACACACATGAAATTAGTTTTGGCTCACGAAAATCTATATATTTTTTGTTTATATAAAATAGTGTTTTCGAATTCTCAATATTAATTATTTTTAAATAAAAAAAAAGTGTATTTAATTTATTGCAGCAATTAAAATGCTTACAGTTAAATTCAAAGATTAAGTCATCTCAATGTGAAATATCTTATGGTATTTTTAGGTTATTAGGTATTTTTATGGGTAACATATATAATCTACTTAATTATTAATTGGGAAAATATACGTATTATATGGGGTGCCTAAAGCAAAATTGGACGAAATAGAGATTTTTTCAAATGAAACTTGTAATTTTAAAATTAAAGACACTTTTTATAAGGAAATAATACATTGAAAGTTGACCAAAAACCTATATTTATTTCTTATATCTAATTAAGCTTACATATTAATTATCTAACAAATGAAGTATACTATAATGATCTCTAATCAAATTTAGATGGTGAAATATGTACACGTAATTATAAAAACGAACATACTTGACCAGTTAATTTAATTCACCAAAATTCATAGCTGATGAAAATATGTTATTTCAGGTTTTTGTCTGGTACAAATGGCACCATCTTTGCATATGGACAGGTGATGATTCATTTTAGTTGTTTTAAAATAATTTTTCTACATATATTATTAACAGATTTAATGTTATAGACTGGAAGTGGTAAGTCACATACGATATATGGATCCAGAAAAGATGCAGGGATAATTCCTAGATCTTTCAAATACTTATTTGACAATAAGTCAGCCATTAAATCTACAGAAGGTAATTAATATATTGCATTTAAATATTTGTTTAGTTTTTAACCATTAAAAAAAAATTTAGAACGTGAAATTTTCTCAATGTCATATTTTGAAATTTATAACGAAATAGTTTATGATTTATTACCATCAACAAAAAGTAGACAAATTAAAAAATCAAATGTTAACAATAAAAACCTGGGACTTAAGTAAGTTTTTTGATCAAGAAATAGTATAAAAAATACTATTAAAAATAATTAAAAATAATGATTTATACTACATTTGGTATAATTTAGTGATATTGTGCGTTTCACCGTCAACAAAAAAGGAGACGTTGATTTCAAGAACTTGAATATAATTAAAGTTAAAAATGTTTCCGAAGCTTTAAAACTCCTTACATCTGGTAACGCAAAACGACAAGTATCATCTACGTCAATGAACAATCAGTCCAGTCGGTCTCATTGTATTTGCAGAATTGAGTATTCAAATAAGACAAATGGAACCAAATCAAATGAAATAGTTCTTAACTTGGTTGATTTAGCAGGGTTAATATATTTTCAGATTCTAAGCGTAGCGACCAATGTATTGATTTTTGCAATGATGTGTTTTTTTAGTTCTGAATGCATTTCAAAGATGAACAACGACAAGAAAACTATTGCTGAGTCCCGATACATAAATTTATCACTGATGCATTTGCATCAGGTTATAAATTGTTTGGCAAATCCTGTTCAACCGATCCACGTGCCTTACCGTAACTCGGCTATTACGAAGTTGCTAAAAGGTTCATTGGGATTCAACTGTGCAACCGCAATGATCACCACAATAGTACTAAATTATAGAAGTATTGTGGTAAGTGTATTTAAATAGACATACAATATGTCTGATAAATCGATTATAATCTCTGGATAATTGTTACAGGAATCTACATATACTTGTAAATATGCTAGAGATGTTTCTGGCATTAAACCTATTGTGAAATCCGAGATCCGGAAAAAAAGTGTCAAATTGCTAGTAGCTAAAACAGTAAATTGTTAATATACATAATACATGTAATAAATAGTGTATACATTGAAAATAAAAAGTCAAAAAAAAATTATAATATAATATTAATTAGTCAATTTCTTGATGTGAATAAATACATCATAAATATTAAATTTAAACAATAATATACTCCCTCTAGACATCATGATCGAGAGATTTATAATTATAATATTTCTTGGGGTTTCTAGGTTGACTTGTTGGGTGATAAAGTGGGAGATTCTGTTCATAATGACAAACATGTAACGAATTGTGGGACCCAGACTGTGGTTATAAGCAGTAACGTCCCTGGGTTCGGCGTTATAGCAGATATGCAATTTGGTGTCAAAAGCGTTCTGAGAGTCGCGAAGGTGGATAATGACCATGGAAATAGTGATAATCAGATGATCAAGGTAAACTTTAAAATAAGTTTTTTAATATTGTACCTATGAACACAATTTTTTTATACAACATATTTCTATATGAATAATTATCTAAATAGATTAGTCTAATTATGTAGAGTCTACATTGTAGACACAATAATATTTAAATGGATGGTAGATTGCGAACACGTGTGGCATGTGTCTACAATCTTCATAAATACTATGTACTGTTTTAAGTATCTTCAGCTTATACGTATTTTAGTACAGTTTAAACAAGTTATCACACTGATAAAAATAATACATAAATTGTAAAAAAAAGGTTAGATATTATATTGATCTCGTGCACATTGTTGCCCGTTACAAATGCCAACTCTTTATGAGACTTTTATGGCTTGTCCATTTGCGGTGGACCCCGCTAGGTGCATACTCTATAGTCTATAGTAGAATAATATGTTTAGTTATTATTTTTTTTTTGATTGTGGACATGTCGATGAGCTGCTATAAGCGTAATTTAGCTGATAGACACTTTGGTAGTCAATTTACTAAAATTCGATTTGATGCATGCTTAAACCTGATTTGCCCGATTAAACAATGGCAACCAAAAAATTTAAAAAATACCAAGTTCTACCAAAAATTAAGAAAGTTGAGCGAAAAATTAGTTGCTAATTAAAATAAACGAGCAAATTACACATATTGTATGGCACGGCGGCCTCCTGGTGACTTCAGTTTGTTTGCTCAAACTAACCACGATGAACAAATCCTTATCAAAAAACACACTATATAATTGTTCATTAATCTTCCGATTGATTCCACTGTGAAATGAGCACTAAGAAAGTATAAATTAACTGTTTTATATCATAGATAGAATAATAGAAGATAGATGGATCTGTTTTAAATGATAAGCGATAAGCGTGA